AATACCAAGAAGAAACTAAGATTTATTTACAGAAAAGGATAAACTTAAAATTGAGGACATCCCATAATCTGGTATAGTAGAGAATAAAGTTGCCAAGTGTGAATGACTTTTATGAATGACTTCTAAATGCATATTTCAAGGTCTTCTAAAAATACATTAAGAGGAGGTGGGAAACCTCTTCATCAAAATTATATGTAATCATTTTGTGCACCAGAAATTAGGGGAAATTTTAATCAAGGGAGACCTCAACTGTGTTGTTTATAAACTTCATATTTACTTACTTAGGAGGCTGTTATTCATAGGTTGACCCCCAGTACCTCAGAATGTGACTGTATTTGAAGACAGGGCCTTTAAAGAGGTATTAAGGTAAAATTAGGTCATTTGGGTAGGTCCTAATCCAGTATGACTGATGTCTTTACAGAAAGAGGAAATTTGGACACAGACATGCAGGGCATAGACAAAAGACCATGTGCGGACACAGTGAGAAGTTGGCCATCTACAAGCCAAGGAGACAGACCTCAAAGAAACCAACCCTGCCAACACCTTAATCTTGTACTTAGAGTCCAGAGTCTGAGAAAAAAAAAATTCTGTTGTTTCAGCCACCCAGTCTATGGTATGGCAGCCCTAGAAAACTAATGCCAGGGTCGATTTTAATATCCTAATGTATGAAACATGTCACAAAATGCAATTGGAAGTCATAACTAGACATATGACATATTTTAAACATTTTAAAAATCTATCTTTTATACTCATATTTTAGTGCATTTGTTTACTAACTAGAAGTTTCCTTGTCTTAGATATCCCCATAGGAATTGTATATGGAGGTCTACTTATTCTGATGACTCTGTTAACGTGCTATAAAGATTGGAAATGTATACAAAATGTGTTGTTTATTTCATATTAAATAATAAAATAGTAGATACTTTCTTCATAAGTTATCAAATAAGCTTTCCAATATTTTAATATTCTTTTATGGCAAAGTGTCTCTAAATCTTAAACTTAAAAATTTCTGGAATAACTAATTAGAAAGGATTATAATTATGCAGCTTATAGATCGTCAGAACTTGCCCCAAAAATTATCTACAAAGTTTTATAGTAACTGTATATCACTTACAAAGTAAGAATGAATATTTCGAAGTGCTAAGATATGTAATTTATATTAAAACCTTTTCCACACAGACAATACCGTATCATGTATGTGTGCCATTTGAATTAAGCTTCGATTCTAAGGAGAGTGAATTGTACTACTCAAGAAAGTAAATTCCAGGGAAGGTCAGCCTGCATTGTAATAGAAGGCCACGACAGAGGAAACTACAATTCAGCTATCCACATATTGATCGATACCTGAAACTTTTCTAAACAGCATAGGAAATATCAGATGTTGGGTTTTTACTGGAAAAAATTAGTGGCATGTTAACTAACATAATGAATGTTAGACATGGGTCTTTAAAGAAAAGTATATAAGATATGTGCTTTGCCTAAAATATATTAGAGACACACCTTGCTCTTGCACGAACAGGATAATAAGGATCTAGGGCAGCTGTATCTTGCTCGTTTATGCACGATACCAAAGATTAATCCCTAAATCTCCTGTGTCTAGGCAGTGGTGGATACAGCTGAATGGATTAAGAAACCGTGATATAATCAGGTAATAGGATACTCACCAATAAGAAATAATAAACAACTGACACACGGGAGAACTTGGGTGAATCCTGTTGAATGAAAGAAACTAGGCACAAAAGAGTACCCATCACATGATTCCATTGATTTGAAATTCTAAACCAGTTAAAATACATCTATGGTAATAGCGATAAGAATAGCCATTGTCTTCAGGAGGTGGTTGGCTGGAAAGGGACACATGAAATCTGCTCAGATGATGAAAGTATTCTGCCTTCAGATTGTTTTAAAGTTCTGTTTGCCTTCCCATCCCATTTTATAGACGTAAAAATGTCAGAAATAAGGATGTATTAAGGGAGTTACAGATAAGAAAGATGACTTGGAATTACAGTCTTCAGACACATTCTCATTATTGAATGAATGTTAATTCGTGTTTTAAGTTAAAATAAAATATCTTTAAAAATTGATTACAATTTTCCTTTGTGGTATAACGAATTTTTGTGTCAAATATGCACAAAATGTAAAAAATCAAAATTATGTAATTGATATAATAGCTCATATAATATTTCCAAATTACTCAATATATTTTTATCATAGGAAGTTTATCATAATTATATAATAATCATATAAATAAATAAAACAGTAAATAAATGGCTTCTGAAGAATGACAAAGGATTATTGTAAACTTAATTAGGTGGTGAATACAACTGCAGCTACTGTTTCACATGTGGTTTCATTGGTGGAGTAAATCAACAAATTCCTTGATATTTGATTTGGGTATTGATATGGAAAATCATTTTTCCCTCTATATACCTGTTAGCAGAGACTACCTGAAGCACGTTTTTTTCATCTGGAAGGGCCAGCAATATACCTTCATTGTTTCTCCTCAGGGATATATCAACTCTCCAACCCTGTTCTATTCTATTCCACGGGGAATTGATTGCCTCTCCATTCTGCAAGACATCACATGGATCCACTACCTTGATGGACCAGAGGAACATGAAATAACTACTTTAGACATCTTGGTATGACTCATTTATGCCAGAGGGTGGGAAATAAATCCCTCTAAAATTTAGGGGTTTATTCCTTCAGTGAACTTTCTTGGGTTTCCATGGTCTGGAACAAGTTGAGATATGTCTTCCAAAGTGAAGGTCAAGTTGCTATATCTGGTCCCTACTACGATTAAGATAGAGTAACACTATGGGGCTGGCTCAGTGGCATAGTGGTTAAGTTCAGTGCACTCTGCTTCAGTGTCCCAGGGTTCATGTGTTTGGATCCTGGGCAGAGACCTACACCACTCATCAGCCATGCTGTGGTGGTGACCCACATACAATATAGAGGATTGGCACAGATGTTAGATCAAGGCCAATATTCCTCACCAAAAAAAAAAAAAAAAAAGAAAGAAAGAAAGAAAAGAAAGAGCCACATTACCTCATATGACTCACTGGATTTTGGAGGCAACAGATGCTTTATTTGAGTGTGTTATTATAGCCTAGGCCTATTTACTGAGTAATCTAAAAGGTTTCCAATTTTGATCAGGGCCTGAAAAAGTGAGGGTTCTACAGCAGGTCCAGGCTGCTATGCAAGCTTCCCCCCACTTTGGTCATATGACACAGCCAATTAAATGGTGTTTAACGTGTCTAATGAGCCTTTGGCAGGCCTCTTAGGTGAACTAAAGAGCAGACCTTTAGGATCTGGGAACAAAGCCATGCTATACTCTGCAGATATGCTCCTTTTGAGAAGCAGCTCTTGGTTTTTTGCTAGTAGTCAGTAGAGACTAAGTATTTGATCATGGACCACCAAGTTACCATGTGACCTGAAATGCCCATCATGAAATGGGTGTTGCTTGACCCACAAAACCATAAATTTGGGTATGCATAAGAGTGGGAGTGGTATATATAAGACCAGCCTTGAACATTTCTTGAAGGCACATGTCAATGATACTACCATGACATGTGTTCACATTACCATGGCTCCTAATTCTGCTACACTGTCTCATCTTTTTCACCTTGCACCTATGGCCTCATCAAGAGTTTCTTATGACCAATTGACTGAGGAAATAATATTAGGCCTGGTTTACAGACTGTTCTGACAATATGCTAGCACCACCCAAAAGTGGACATCTGTAATACTACAGTCCCACTCATGGGTGGGCTTGAAGGACAGTGATGAAAGGAAATCCTACCTTTTTTTTTGGTGAGGAAGGTTGGCCCTGAGCTAACATCAGTTGCCAATCTTTCCTATTTTTGCTTGAGGAAGATTGTCCCTGAGATAACATCTGTGCCAATCTTCCTCTATTTTACATGTGGGACGCCACCAGAGCATGTTTTGATGAGTGGTATGCATGTCTGCACCTGGGATCCAAACCCATGAACCCCAGGCCGCCACAGCAGAGCAAGTGAACTTAACCACTTTGTAACTGGACCAGCCTCAAGGAACTCCTACTTTTGCTGAATGCATTGGATAACTGGTGACATAGAAATCTGGGGAAGAGGTATGTGGATAGTAGTCTCAGAATGGTTATAGAGTGTAGAAATATTTGTGTCTCAGGTGAATTCTCACCAAAAGGCAACCTCAGCAGAGGAGGATCTTAATACTTAGGTGGATAGAATGATCTGTTTTATAGATGTCAACCTCTTTTACTAGACACCCTTGTCCTTGCTCAGTGGGTTGACAGATTAAGTAGCATGGCAAAGAATTATGTGTGGGCTCAAGAAGGTGGACTTCCATTAATCAAGGTCTATCTGGCTACAGCCACTATTGGGTGTTTAACCTGCCAAGAGCAGAGACTATGATTACACTCCTGATGTGCCATTTGTGGCATTCATGGAAATGTGCCACTCAGGTCTCCTTCAAGAGAACCTACATGGGGACATAGTTGACTGATAGCTTCATATATCATCCCTCTTGAAATACCATTGCATTTGCGCTGGGACCTTGAAGTGCAAGCTGCTCCCAGCCAACTATTTAGTGCTAGGGTTACTCATACTAGTCCATTCCTGCAGGATACAAGACTCCTCTAATGGGCAACTTTGGCATTCATACTCCCCATCAGCCTGGTTGAAACTTTTCTAGAAGCATGCTGCAGACTGAGACTCTGTGTCCAATGCTCCTTTCTTGCTCCTCCCTTTTTATAGGAGTCAGATCTGCATCACAGTCTGAAGGTCCTCCCTGTCTACTCCAGATTCTATCCCTTTATTCTTCATAGATGTTTCCTCCAATAAACCTCTTGCATGTCTAATGCTGTCTTGGCATATGTTTTTTTGAAGGAATCAAACTGATACAGTTGGTACCAAGAATTCTTAGAGAAAACAGGTGGGGCTTGGAATTGACTGACCACCGCACAGGCAAAGGGGACCTCATGCTTAGTGATATTTGGAGCATCAACAGTCGCTTGCACAAGATGGAGGCCCAACTGCTGAAGATTTCACTGATGGGTATGGTGTGAGGAAGACCTGGTGGAAGAGAATTCCATTGTAGGTGAAATGATTCAGGCATTTGAAAGATATGTGGTAAACAATGCCTACAAGGAGAATAAGTTAGCTGGTTATTGCTAAATTGTATTAAAACCCTGAAAAGGGATAATGAGAAACTGAGAGCCAGAGGGCCTCTTTGATAGCTTACTAAGAGGCCCTTATCTCCTATAGTGTAAGGGCAGACACAGTTGACAACACAGGATTTGGTAGAGTTTCAGAGCTTCAGATGTGTTTAAATGCCCACTCAAGGAAGATCTGTTATGCTATGATAACAGGGCCCTGGTTGGGAAAATCTGGAACCCTGAAACATGGTATGGAGATATCTGGATGGACGTCCCTGTGGATTTTTACTCTGAACCCTTATGAGCTAGGCCTTTGTACCTGCTAAGTCATAAAATTGAATGGACCTAGCAACAGTGCATTGCAAAATGGAAATAATATATCTGGAATTGAACCAAACCTGAACCAAAGTTCATAAGTAAATTTCATGAACAGATAGTGCAGACCCTCCAGGGCATGCACTGCAATTGCACCACTGCCCCTCCCACATATTTCATCTATGGTCATTTTGGGCAGGGCATGTGACTAGCTGAAGGAGGAAGAAAAAGCATGAGCTTGATTTACAGATAGATTTGCTTGATATGTGTGTTCAAGCCAAAACTGTATAACAAGTGCATTATAGTACTATATTCAGGGGTGGCCTTGAGAGACAGCAGAGAGAGAAAAAACTCTTCCCAATGTGTGGAACTGTGAGCAGTGCACTGATAATCCACATTTTGTGTGGAAGGAAAAGTAGCCTGAGGTAAGAACGTACATATATTCCTGGACAGCAACCAGTGACTGGCTGGTCATGGACCTGGAAGGAAAAGAGTTGGAAGACTAAAGTCAAGGATGTCTGGAGTGCAGGCATGTGGATGGACATATGGGAGTGGACAGTGAGATGATGTAAACATCTTCACACCCACCACAAAGCATCCACCGTGGAAGTGGCACAAAATAAGTAAGTAGTAAAACGACTTCAGCACTGAATAACCAAGTAGACAAAAAAGTCCACAAATTGATGCTAGCTGTCCTTCCTCATCAATCAAAGTGTAATTGGTATGATGAGCATATGAATAGCATGTCTATGCTCTGAAAGGCTGTGGAAGCTATGCATGTGCCCAACAGCATGGACTCTCACTTACCAAAGCTGATCTAACCAATGTTGCCTATTCCCAACCTCCCAGACAAAGAGATTAATGCTGAATTTTTTTTCCCCTTGGTGAGGAAGATTAGCCCTGAGCTAACATCTGTTGCCAATCTTCCTCTTTTTACTTGAGGGAGATTGTCCCTGAGCTAATATCTGTGCCAATCTTCTTCTATTTTTTGTATGTGGGATAACACCACAGCATGGCTTGCTGAGTGGTGTGTAGCCTGGGATCCTAACCCAGGAACCCCGGGCTGCTAAAGTGGAGCATGCGAACTTAGCCACTATGCCACTGGGCCGGCCCCCAATGCTGAATCTTGATATGACACTATCCCCACAGTACATCACCACCACCTGAAGACAAATCAACTACATAGTTTTCCTTCCATCCTGGAAGGGTCAGTGGGTCATTGTTATAGGTTTAGATATCCATTCCAGGTATAAGTTTGCCTTTTCTACCTGCAGAGCCCCAGCCAGCATTACTGTACATGGCCTTATAGAAAGCCTGGTCCATAAACAGAATCCCACACAGTATATCACCCAATCAGTGGACTCACTTCATAACAAAGGTTGTGCAGTAGGTGCAGGGCCTATGATCATGGTTGAATCAGATACCACACTTTCTGGAAGCAGCCAACTTCATAGAGTGCTGGAATGGCCTACTAAAGCTGAAATGACAACCAAAGGCAATAATTTACAAAGAAGTGGTGCTATCTTTCTAGATGCAGTATATGCATTAAATCAGAGATCTCTATGGCTCTGTGCCCACAATAGGGGTAAAACTGGATCTGAGAAACAAGAGATGGAAGGAGGATTGGCCTCACTTACTTTCACTCCAGATGACCAACGAAGGATTTTATGCTTTCTGTTCACACAGCTTTGGACTCCACAAGATTGGAGGTCCTGGTGAGCAAAATAGATGATTTCTTGCCAGGGAACACAACAAGGGTCCCATAAAACTACAAGTTACAGCTGCTGTGCAACAATCCACTCCAAGCTTAAGTGCCTTAAAACAATGCTTTATTATCATCTCTTCAAGTTCTGTGGATTGAGTGGTCTCAGTTGTGTGATTCTTGCTCGGTGGCAGGGGCGTCTCTCGTATGTTTACATCAGATGTTAGGAGGACTGAAGTCATCTGAAGGCTCAGTTGGGCATGACATCCCCTGTGGCTTCTATACTCACATGATCAAACTTGGGATGAGGTGACTGGAACAGCTGAGGGCTGACTAGGCATCTCCCTCTCCATTTGGCTCGCCTGGGCTTCCTCACACTATGGTGGTATCAAAGTAGTAGAATGGCTCACAGGGCTTTTGCCTCCCCCCAGAGCGAGTATTCCAAGACCAAGAGAGAAACTGCAAAGCTGCTTCTGACAGAGCACCAGAAGACACGTAATGTTATTTTGACCACATTCTACCGGTTACAGTCAATCACACAGCCAGTCCAGACTCAAGTCTGAATTCACACAAGTCTGAATACTGAGAGGCATGGGTCATTGGAGGGCTATCTTTGGAGCCTAGTTGTCACAGTTGCCTTGAATACTTTCTGAATAGAGAGATTTTTACATTAATAACTATTCTCCTTACTGATAAATGTTTATGGAGAACCCATGGTATGTGCAGAGCCTTAAAGTAAGTAGAAGAAATAGAGAAGATGTTATACCTATCCTCAAAGTTTGTACATTCTATTGTGAAATATTCATATTAACACTGAAGCTAAGAGCAGGCTGGGAATCTCAGAAGTGAGAATTAATGTATTGGTGCTGATGGACAATGTGTGTATTATATCTCTCTGAGTTAGATAGATTGACAATGGGCTTCTCTACATAGTTGTATAGATTGACAATGGGCTTCTCTACATAGTTGTATCAACAATAAAATGATGGAATACTTTCCTAGTTCAGAATTTTCACAACCAGTGATCCTTAATATGGTATACAACTCATTCCTCATGAGACTTGCTTATCTCTAAGAATTGTTTATTAGGATACATCGAAGTCACTGTGAGAAACGATAAACTTGTAAACTATAAACAGTGATACAATGAGACAGATTTTAACCTTTCAAAAAGAACTCATGATAAATGTGATATAAATGAATAAACAAATTAGACCATTAAACACATTCTTGAAACAAATTTTAATATATAGTTAGCTGAACTGTTTTTCCTTTTTAATTATAATATTATTGCTTATTCAGCCATATTATGTTTGACAATTCTTGGAGTTTTCTGTCTTAATCTTTTTTTTGTCCCAGATTTATGGCTTGATGAGAGTAAAAGCAGATGAAGGGGAAATGAAAGTCAGAGAGACAGTGTCATGTCTAGGTGATAAATAACATCATTTATTTATTTATACATATGTCAGATCTTTATTTCACTTGTTGAATAATTCAGACAAAGTCCTGGGCTACTTGATGCTTATAGTCTGGTGGGTAGACAGACAAGAAACACACCAACAAATGCATAATACAATGTCTGCTAATGATGATTGCCATGAGAAAAATGAGACAGGGTAAGGGGAAAGAGAGATGGATTGAGTGAGTGCTATCTTATATAGGATTGAAGGAAGGGTGTCTCGATGAGGTGGCATTTGAGCAGTGACCTGAATGACGTGATGATGGGGCAAGCCATCTGGGGCAAGAACACTCAAGTTCAAAGACCCAGGAGTGGAAGCCCACTTGGCGCATTCAAGGAACATCTAGACCTTTCTAGAGGGTAAGTGTGACCACAATAGAATGAGAAAGGTGAAGCAAGATAGGAAATATTCAGTAAACTAGAGCTGCTTCTATTTGTCATGTTCTATGTAATGCTGGGGATATCAAGGTGAATAAAACATAATCCTTGTCCTCAAGGAAGAGTATCCTAGAGGAAGCTATTCTGGAGGTGTGTGCAAAGTTCAAAGGCAGCCAGAGGAGAGAGGCCTTAAAGTTGCCTGAAAGATAAAGGAAAGCTTTAGAGAGGAGATGTCAGGGAACCATGAAGAGGAGGTGGTGATGAGGTTGGAAACTCCAGGAAATATCATGAGTTTAGTAGTTTGGTATTTCTTAAAGGTCAATGCTGATGAGAGATGTGCCAGGGGATGACGTGGGATTGGTAGCTTAAGGAACTTCGTATGTGGGCTTGTGTCATGCCAAGTCTGAAGAATATTGAGAAGTGAAGTAAAATAACTAAATCTGCCTTTTATGCACAGCCACGAGGCAAGGCAGTGTCATTAACTAAGACAAGAAACACAAAGGTAGAAGAACTTGGAGTATGGGAGGTGACATGATGATGGGTTTTAGGCTTGTGTAGTTTAGATTGCCCAAGGGTCATCTGACTAAATGGCAGTTGGATATATGTAGGTCTTGAGCAAAATCAAGGTTAGAGGCAGAACAGTCATTAGCATAGAGGTGTTAGTTGCAATTATCGTGTGAGCAGAGAAGTAGGCTAAGGTTGGAACCAGAAAAACAGCAACATTTAAAGCAGGGAGGAGAGGAGAGTTGACTCTATAGGAATCGGCAGAGTATCGCTGACCACATTGTGTTCTTATTTTTACTAATGAGCCTAACTTCCATATAGACTGCGAGCTCCTTGAAGGAAATAATTTTAGTTCACCTTTTTTGTTCTTGTATTCCCAGCAACTGTCCAAGTGCCTCGCACATGGGATACTTATATATATATATATATATATATTCAAATGGGTGAATGAATGATAATTAATGAAAAGACTCTAAGGCTTGACATTTCTACTTGCTGCTTTCATCATTTAGTGTGACATTTCAAAGCAGTAGTTCTTGTATCTTTTTATTTTTATTACTTTTTTATTATACAAACACAAGTTTATTGAAAAAATTAGAAAAAGGGCAAGCTAAAAACTTACCCTGAATTCCACTACCAGAAATCACTATTGTTAACATTTCATGTCTATATTTTTAGACCACCACTATCAATAGAAATACAATGTGAGCTACATACATAATTTTAAGTTTTTTAGTAGCCACATTAAAAGAAAGTATAAATAAATATATTTAACCCAATAAACCCCAAAATCATTTAAACATACAGTAAATATAAAAATAATAACAATGAGATTGTTTATATTCTTTTCTTCATATTGAGTCTTTGAAATCTGACAGTACATCTCAACCGGACTGTGTTACAATCCAAGTGTTCAATAGCCACATGTGGGTAGTGGCTATGTATTGGACAGCACTTTTCAAGTCTCTTATTGATGTACAGTCATGCACCGATAATGATGTTTCTGTCAACAGCAGACCACATAGACGACAGTGGTCCCATAAGATTAGTACCATATAGCCTAGGTGTGCAGTAGGCTATATAATATCATCTAGGTTTACGATGTTCACGCAAAGACAAAACTGCTTAAGGATAAACTTCTTAGAATGTATCTCTGTCAAGTGATCATGACTGTATATATAATGATGTACCTATACATAAAAATTATAATTCTCCCTCCACAAAAATCAGAATAGTTTTGGATTTACAGAAATGATGTGAAGATAGTACATATAGTTTCCATATACCCCACACCTGGTTTCCCTTCTTATTAACATCTTACAATGGTACTTTTGCCACAATTAATAAACCAATACTGATACATTGTTATTAACTAAAGTTCATATTTTATTAGATTTACTTAGATTTTGCCTAATGTCCTTTTTCTGATTCAGAATCCCACCTAGGGATCCCACTACATGACATTTAGTCATCACATCTCCTTAGGCTCCTCTTGGCTGTGACTATTTCTCAGACATTTCTTATTTTTGATGACCTTGACACTTTTGAGGAGTACTAGTCAGGTATTTTGTAGAATGTCTCTCAATTGGGATTTCTCTGATTATTTGCTAGTGATTATATTGGGATTATGGGTTTTGGGAAGGAAGACCACAGAGGTAAAGTGCCATTTCTCATCACATCATAGCAAGGGGACATGCTATCAACATGACTTATCTCTGTTGACTGTGATCATCTGGCTGAGCTAGCGTTTGTCAGATTTCTCCACTGTCAAGTTACTCTTCGTTCACCCTTTTCACACTGTCCTCTTTAGAAGGAAGTCACTATGCACAGCCCACACTTAAGGAGTGGGGAGTTGTGCTTCACTTCCTTGAATGTGGAATGTCTTCATAAATTATTATTTAGAATTCTTCAGCATAGGAAATTTGTCTATTCTCCCTCATTTACTTATTCAATAATGTATTTGTAACAGCAACTCATGGATATTTATTTTATACTTTGGGTTATTACTCAATATTACTACTTTATTTATTTTAGTGTTCAAATTGTTCTAGCTTTGGTCACAAGGAGCTTTTTCACTTGGCTCCTATGCCCCTGTGACACAGCCCCATCATTTATTTTTTTCCAGCTCTATGGGGTGCTCCAGGATTGCCTTACATGTTCCCTGCCACAGCCCTAGAATCAACCATTTCTCCAAGGAGCTCTGGTTCCTTTTATTACAAAATGGAATTAGAGACCGAGGTATGGGATTTAGGCATGCTCATTGCTCCTGGGGCATCCTCAAAAGCATCAAGGGAGAGAAAGATGTGAAACAGGTTTTGAAAGATGATGAGCCTCCAAAGGTAGAAATGGGGACGAAGCATATTGTAGGAGAAGCAAATAGCAGGAGCAGAATTTTGGAGTTGGGAAAAGCACAGTCTCACAGGGAATCCAGAGTTTTGAGCAGGCAAGATTCTATGGAGGGACACTTTAGGGTGTTTAATCTGGCAGCACTGAGTAGGTGAACTTGAAGAAGAAGAGTCTGAAAGTGGAGACAACAGCTAAATGCCCAGTGTAGTAATGCAGGTACAAGTGTTCAATTTATCCCTCCTCCTTAACACACTGGGTGATGTGGGAGGAAAGAGCTGAACAACTGTTCTAATCTGAACAGTTTGAGGAGTTCTATCCTTTCTGAACTGCAGCAAGCCAAAAATAAAAAAATGTAATTTTAAAGTATTTTTAAATTATTAAGAAAAATAATTCTTGACATTATTAAGGAAAAGAATTCTTAAGAAAAAAAATTACTTGTGTTACATTGTTGGTGTCCCATCTAGATCCCCTTGTGTTTCACTTCACTTCAGTGCACACTGCAGACTTCCTAGCCAGTACTTGTGTTTCTTTGCCTAAGGACTTTCTCTTACTGCTATAGCCTGCTAAGTGCTGGGGAATTAACACTCCCAGGAGCTGTCCTTGACCAATGACACACAGGATTTGGGGTATCAATACCTTGGCTCCTTTGGCCCTCGGGTGGGATAACTTGAGGCACTTGTTCACACTGGTTCCCAGAGATTCCCTGGCAGGAGTAAATTCCAGGTGCCCACAATGGCAGCTGGCTTGATAACACACACCCTTTACTGGCTGACTTCCCTTCCTGTCACTGTCTCCTATGCCCCTGCCATGCATCCTGGGGTCACCTCCTAACTAAACCACTTGCACCTGAATCCCTGTCTGCTTCTGGAGGAACCCAAGCTGAGGCGCCTGGGCTGCACAACTGAAAATCCCAGGTAGATCTCTAATCACAGCAAGGGCTGGGGCCTCAAACAATGTTAAGGGAACTCAGTTTCACTCTCTCTCTTCAGGATCATACTCTTCCCTTGTGGTGGGATAACGGCTGTTGGCAGCTCTAGGTTTACATCCTAGCCTCTTACATCCCCAATAGCATTCCCAACAGTTCCATATTGAGTTTTGGGCTTTGGTCTTGGGTCATGTACCAATTCTTAAACCCCTCATTGTGGTCAGAGAAATGAACTATACCAATTTGCCAGGGGTCCAAGGGCGGCGTCAGCCTCATCCAAACCCAAATGTGGTTAGGAGGAAGGAAGGCTTGGTCATCCAGGGAAAATCAAGGCGTTGTCACCAAAAAGGGAGGATGGATGTTGGGCAGGCAGCAATGACAGATGCACACCTTAATCGACTATGCTTTTTTCCTTAGGCACCAGATGCAGAGATGAAAATGTTCTTGAGGTTGGGGTCTTGTAACCACAGCTCTTTCTTTGATACCAAATGTGGGAAGATTGTTGTTAAAACATTCATTAGCTTCCTCTCTAGACCCACCAGTGCCCCTCACCATGCCTTCTGACTACCCTCTTCCTGTCCTGGGGGTTGTTCTCTCCTAGGCTCCTGGAGCAGCTGGCTGGCTCAGGGGTTTTTGTAAGGCACTTCCTATCACTACTCTCACCGTGCGATACTTCTACAACAGCACAGAAATAGACAGCTGAGTCTCTAGACGTCAAGGCTGAGATGGTGAGCTTTAGGGTTGGTTTCTGAAACACCACAGAATATCGTCCTTCCCTTGAGTTCCTGCTTGTAGAATATATTCGAATGATGTAAGTCATCTCTCCAGTGGAAAGCTGTTGATACCAGTACATCACATAGTAAGCATAACTGACTGTGATTTTGCAGTCCAAGGTCACAGAGTCTCCCTCTTGCCTATACACCACACTTGTAGGTTGAATGACCGTCTGGGTATTGCTGGAACCTGTACAAAAGAAGCAAAAAAATGACTTATCTGATGACATTGCTCACAAGAAAACCATCACAAATAACCAGGTTTTGACTCAGAAAATAAAGTGGAGAAAAGCACAGTCCAGTTCTATTCCAACTTCTCTCCCAACCCTCCCTCCTCAGGCCCCAGCTGCAGGGTTGGCAGGCTCCCTACCAAAGCAGACGAAGGCCAAGACTGTGCACAAGAGAGCAAGCGGTCCGGGCTGCATCCTTGGGGCTCTTCCCACTGGTGAAATGGCTCTTGTTCTGCCTGCCACCTGACAGGCTTTTGAAGCGTCACTGGAGCTGGGTGGTCCTGTGGTCTTGCTGCTGCAGAGCCGGAAATGGGGTTTCTGCATATGCAAGCTTAGTCATGTCACCTGCTGTCTGTGTTTCCCTCCTGCTTCTCCTTCCAGGGCTTTTACTTTTCTCAAATAAATATATAACATGTAGTATATATTTTAATTATGAACGAAAACTTGTACAATGTAGACATAACCAAAAAGTAAAAAGGAGATAATAAAAATCCAACTGTAATATCGCTATACAGGGATAAATACTGTTAACATTTTGTTGTATTTCTTTCAGTATTTTTAATATAAATATGCATACTTTCAATAAATTGGGATCATATTGAAAATAATTTTTTGTTTGACATTATGTATGTGAGTATGCCATCATGTCATTCATTTGTATGTGAAAGTGTGATTTTTATGGCTTCATACTACTCTGTTGTGTAAGTGTACCTTAATTTACTTAAACATCATTGTTTGACATTATTTTGTTTCCCCTTTCGACTATTTTAAATAAGATTGAGTGGACATTGTAAGTATAAGTCTTTGCATTTCTGATGATTTATTTCTATGTTAACTAGGTTCTTTTAAAGTGTTTTATTATGGAAGTTCTATCCAGCTATTCCACTGTTGGGTATTTATCCAAAGAACTTGAAAACACCAATTTGCAAAGGTACATGCACCCCTGTGTTCATTGCAGCCTTATTCACAATAGCCAAGACTTGGAAGCAACCTAAGTGCCCATCAAGGGACGAATGGATAAAGAAGCTGTGGTATATATACACAATGGAATACTACTCAGCCATAAGAAACGACGAAATCCAGCCATTTGTGACAACATGGATGGACATTGAGGGTATAATGCAAAGTGAAATAAGTCAGAGGGAGAAGGCCAAATACCGTATGATTCCCTTCATTAAGTAGTAGATAATAACAACAATAAACAAACACATAGGGACAGAGATTGGATTGGTGGTTACCAGAGGGGAAGGGGGGAGGGTGGAGGGTGAAAGGGATAATTCGGTACATGTGTGTGGTGATGGGTTGTAATTAGTATTTTGGTGGTGAACATGATGTAGTCCATGCAGAAATAGAAGTACAATGATGTACACCTGAAATTTTTGCAATGTTATAAACCAATGTTACTGCAATAAAAAAAAAAAAAAAGTGTTTTATTATGGAAAATTCCAACATCTACAAAAGAAGAGAGAATAGTGTAATGAAATAACATATACCCATCATCCAGCTTCCACAATTATCAACTCTTGGCCAATCTAGGTAATCGACACCCCCACCACCCTACGTATCTACATACCTCCCCCAATCCTGATTAGTTTGAAGCAAATCCCAGACATCATGGTGTTGTGTTGGTTACTTTATTCAGGAGACTCATAATGTCAGGTTGCCTTTTGGCCTGTGAGTGTGTGTGTGTGTGTGTGTGTGTGTGTGTGTGTTGTTAGTGACTGTTGATAAGCAATGACTAGATCTATTGTTTGGTTGGGGGTTGGTTTGCAAAAGGATATTCTAATTATATCATTTCTACTTTATTTTTTAGCTGAAATATTTCTATAAAGATCATTTTTTCCTTCTCTGTTATTTGATTACTCTCTGAGGTTTAGTGTATCATTCTTTCCATTTATCAGTTTTCAGGATAAGGAGTTGGTTCCCCTGTAGGGTAACCCACCATCCCTGTTTGCCTGACACAGAGCGGTTTCCCAGGGCATGAAGCTTTCAGTGCTAAAACCTGGATAGTCCCAGGCAAATCAGGACAAATCTCCAAAAGTAATTGAGGAGAATTCTTTATGAACCCTGACTTAAAAATACTTGATGTGTTTCAATCCATTAAATTCATTATCTTGTTGATGTAGGAATTGTCCCATCTTTACCCAGACGAAGTCTTTTCTGGTTGGCTCCTGAGTCCTTTTGAGATGGTCTTGTAGTCATTGATAGCTTCAAGGTTTTCTGTATGACCAGATATTCTAGGCTCATTTCATACCTTTCCTCCCCCAGAAATGGAACCAGCCATCTATAATTATTGATAATTGTTTTTTCCTTTCTAGTCCTAATGTTTTTATTATTTTACTGTACTTGTTAAGACATTTTGTGCAATGTAGAATAGAAAGAATAATATTAGAAATCTTTGTCTTTTTCAGATTTTTAAGGAACTGCTTTTAACATCTCATTTTAAAAACAAATTCAAATATTCTCTTTGTCAGGTTAAGGAAGTTCCCTTTTCTTCCTAGTTTGCAAAGAGATTTTAATTATAAGTACACGTAACACTTGACCAAATTACTATTCTGCATTTAGTGAGAGAATTTTAGAGTTAACATATTCATGTGGTATGTTGCACTGATATTAAACCTTCCTCAAACTCTTGGGAGAAATCCTAATTGATCATAGTCTATTAGTATTACATTTTAATATTCAGTGCTAGTTTGATAATACTTTTAGGAGCTGTCACTGCTTTTTATGAGTAACATTGGCCTATACTTTTCAATTATCATCTATTTTTGCTTGTTTTTGTCATTGTTCTCTTCGCCTCATAAAATATGTTAAGTAGTTTTTCTGTTCTTATTATTCTCAGTGCTAAGGTACAGTTTGTATAATACGGAAATTATTGGTCTTGGGCTTGCTGTAACTTACCGGTAAAACTATATGTATGTACAGAGATTTAAATTTCTTTAATTTACATGTAAATTCAAAATTTCTAATTTTTCCTGTCAGTTTTGCTAGATTATAATTTTTAGGAAGTTTTACATTTTGTCCAACTTTTCAAATTTCTTTCTATGAATTTATTCCTTGCATTTTCTAGTAATTATTTAAATTTTTATTGTGCCTATAGCTACTATCTTCTTTTATACAATATTTTTTGTGTCTTCTTTCTTTATTTCCTTGACAAATTTCAGATTTGTCCATTTTCTAATTCTTTTCAAAGGACCTTTTAAAATTTATCCTTTCCATTGCTTCTTTGTCTCTATTTCATTAATTTTAGTTCTTATTCTTACTATTTTCTTCCTGCTACTTTTTTTGTTTACTCTTACTCCATTTTAAAACTTTTTGATTGAACGTTTAGCTCATTATGTTCAGTTTTTTGTTTTCTAGATATATATTTAATATATGTGACTTTTAAAATAATAATAATACTTTTTTATTGAGGTATAATTGACACACAACATTATATTAGTTTCAGGAAAAATTGCTGAGAGAGTACATCTTAAAAACTCTCATCACAAGAAAAACAATTTTGTAACTATGTATGATGACAGATATTAACTAGACTTATTGTAGTAATCATTTCACAATATGTACAAATATAGAACCATTATGTTTAATATATTTTTAGGGCTATAAAATTTTATCTGTGTACTGCTTTAGGTTCACCTCACAAGTGTTAAAATGTCGATCTTTCATTATTGTTCACTTATAAATATAACAATTTTATTATGATTTCCTCTGTAGTTCATGAATTATTTAGGAGTGCATTTTTTTATTTGAAGTTGGTTTTTAATTAATAGTATCTGACTTTGTTTAGATATGTATGCTATTGATTTTTTAATACTTGTTGAGTTTTGCTTTGGTCAATTTGTGGTCAATTTTTCTGACTATTTCTTTAGGGTAAATTTCTAGATGTAGAATTGTTGAGTGAAATAATTTTATATATATTAATAAATTACCCTATAAAAGGATTGTACAAATTGATATTCTTATGGATTTACTCTAAGAGTTTTTGTTTCATGACATCCTTAGATGCATCAGAGAGTTTAATGCTTAAAAATTACATAACAATTTGTGAAGAAAAAAATATTTCCTTCTAATTTTAATGTGCATTTGTTTCTCCCTGAGGTTGCATTCTTTTAATATTATTATTGTTATTTTTGTTTCTTGATTTGGAAATTATTTTTTCATATTCATTGCCATTTTTTAAAATGTTATTTTTTTCTAATTTCTTTGTAATAATACTTTATTTTTTAAGGCTATTCAACAGGTTTGTTTATAAAAGATCAATGTCTGAGAGTCCACTACTGATTCTTAACCAGATAAGTAGGCAGTTGAATTTTTATTATGACAATTTCTGAGCTCCTTGAGCTAACCATGTCCCTGGGCCCTCTCAATCCTAGAACTCACCTTTACCCTTATATATCTTTATATGTAAACTGCAAAACTTCTGTGGCCCTTATCTAGGTTGTTTTCTGAGAAACATTCCAGAAGACCTTGAGATACTGGCTGCTGAAGTTGTCATTCCAGAAGAGACAGGGATGACATGATTACCAATGGATGCATGTAAAAGTTAGGGTGGCCTGTTCAGAAAAAGGAGACAACTTCTTAGGCTAAGTCATTCTTCTGAGAGGAGTTTGTTATAAAGGGTGAACTTGTTATAAAGGGAATTCTATCTGAAGAAATGATAATGGAATGGGGAGGTTCTCAGAATAAGGAAGTTTATAAACTATGGGATTGAGTATAAGACAGGAGTTGAGAAAATTGCTCTTGTAGGAGAAGGAAACAGTTGGTCACAGAATTTCCTAAAGTTCAGGAGGATTTTAAAGAAAATCTGTCTTCAATGACCTCAATATTATTCAGGCTTCTAATTCTCAGCTTTATTCTTTTCTGTCCCAAATTCAGGCCTCTCACCAGTCCCCAGGGAGTGTCAGCATGGTCTCATTGTTCTCAGTCATGTTAATGGGCAGGATTGCCCCCTTGAGGCCAGAGGAGCAGCCTCCTCACAGTGTTCTAGGACAGTAGTCCTCAAGCCTGGCAGAGCATTAGAATAAATTGAGGAGCTTTAAAAAATAGTACTGATTCCTGAGCCCTAGACCAGTGTGGGGACACATCGCAGCATCACCATATTAAAGTTTACTCTTAAGTAAAAAATACTATAGAAAAGAAAGCAACTGCTCTACAATAAATCTAAACATGAACAGAAGCAGAATTACAGACAGGAGAAAGGTGAATTAAAGATGTTGGGAGAGAGAAGAAGGAGGCACTTTATCTGTAA